ATAAGCAAAGCGATAGAGTGATTCAGGGCGCGACGCCACAAGGAGTGCGTTGTCGATTTGATTTTTGGTTACGCATGTTGTTACCTTCTAGCATCTCCCATTCCACTTTCAAAATGTTTTAACAACTGCGAGTACTAAACGATTACTAGGTTCTTATTTGAAGAGTACAATATTACAAGAGACTTATAGTAGGACGTTATGCCACTTACTTTTTCTTCACTTCTGAAATAATTGCTTTTCGGTGTGTCGTTTTCTGATTATATTTATTTGTAAAAAGATGTTTATTTCTCATTTATTATAGAACAAGGCGGTTAATATCCATTCCAACTTATTAATGAAGTGAAGTTATTTAGCTCCCCAGAATTTTCTTTCTTCCTTCGGGAAAATAGTTTCCAGGTTGAGCACACCGATGTTGAATAGTCGTTTAGGTAGGCCTCCAGGTGAGATGTATTGGCTAGGGATGCGGAACTTCACTTTGCGCTGTCCAGGCTGAAAAGCTTTCCGGTGCTTCTGAGTCATACCACGTTAAAATTTAAAATTTTACCTTTATCCAATCGTCACAATCATGATAGATCTTAAATACAGGATCGATATTTGTAGCCTCGCTTTCCGAACCCTTAATGAACGAAGTTAGATTTTTCTTTCAACAATGTTTTTTTGGGATGTGCAAAATAATTTTGGATTATGCCTTCAAGTTTGGAAAAATTGAGGTGGCCTTGAAAGTGCTAGGAAGTTGAAAAAAAGTTGGTATTGAAGTTCAAAATGTCCTAGAACAGTTCTTGAATGGAACTTCGAAGTACGTGGCTTGCTTCTTACCTGTAGCGTAAACTCTCCGTTGGCATTCGTTACACCTTCAGCAAGTAGGTCATCAGGATCCGGCCCTGTGAAAACTGATTAGCTGCAATAATGGGTAGATATTAAGTTTATCTTACCATCATCTTCATCCCATAACTTTACGGTTACTCCAGAAGCTGGCTTATCGCCGCACATCAATTTACCAGTAACGCCAACAGCTTGTTGGCGTAAGGCGAAACTGGCGTAAGCAAGGAATACCAAAAGAAATAGAGAGCGTAGCATGGACTGATTAAGTTACTAAAAATGATTGTTATAATGGGGCCCTTAGCAGTTTTTTGGCTTTTCCTAATAAAGAATATAGGTTATGTTGTCTGGCGTCTCCGTCACGAGAAAAGGGCCTTAGTTCGAGTTTATCTGACCATAAAATTATCTTCAAATCACTGCGCATAAGAGCTGTGGATTTCTTCTTACATGAAAGAGTTTAGAGAGTACATTCCGACATAACAGTATAGCAACAGCAGTCGGTGTGTTTGCAGTTCATTTTCAAGATGCTTTGTACTTTTGAAATCGGTATGGCTTATCGGCAAAAGTGACAATTGAGTAAAATTACGGAAAAATTATGTGCTACAAGTCTTGCATAGCGAAAAGTGGAAAACTGTAGTTCTTTACTAATCTATGCTAAGCTTATCATAGAACACCTTATATATGCTTTTGCCTACAATTTTATGTTGGTTTGTCTTATCACTTTATTAGAAAAACACTTCCGGCTGAAATCGCCCTTTGGTTTGTATGGGGGAGGCAGTGACAGCGAATTGAAAACCTAGTACGTTTTTTTAGCATATAAAAACTAAGATAAGCCTTCACGTCAAAGTGAGTCAACCTTACGTGTTTATTACTGCAATATAGTGAATCAAAGACAATATTATTTTATGATCTGTATAAGCTCATAGTTCGAGCCAAAAATGGAAGGTTTCTCTCGCTTTTGTAGTTTACGATGGATTGTAGTATAATGTGTAATAGAAATTAACACTTTGAAACTTTTGAATTTCATATACAAATTTACTGATTTACTTATTTAATTTCCCATATGTAACTCGTAATCTAGCGGTATTGACGTATAG